AGTAGGTATTCCTGGTGAAACCTCTTTTTTACAGCCAAAACACTGCAACCTTCGTGGCAAAGCGCACCCAATGACTTTGTGGGCTGGAGTTCCACAATGATAACAGTTCATCTGTCTTGATTGGTACGCAGAACTCGTCGTGTGTGCCGAAGCTACATCTAACTCGCTAACATTTGACTCCGCTTCCACATATGCAAAATCACTTTCCTAAATAGTGGACTTTCAAGAAAACGGTTCCACGAAACTATTCATCATAATATCCCTTCTTGATTCCATCTGTCCTAAACTCCGACAAGTCTTTTGGTAATCGTTCTCTTCTATCCCTATGAAAAGGATGTAAATTTCGGATAATAATAATAATAATAATCAACTTGGCTTCCTCGATGATTGGACAAAACAAGGGCTTGAAATAGTTTGAAGGTGATTGACAATATTTCGTGATGAATTTCACTAGTTCGGTGTTGTGAATTAATTTCACATCTAGTATTGAAGTTGAGATTATTTATTGTTTTATATAGTTACCATCATTGTTGTCAGTTTTGTTTTTGATTAAAAAGCAGAAAAGTCAAATAGAATCTTATTTTGCCGAAAATAAGTAGTTTGCCCAAACATTTTGGTCCTTCGAGTTTTGTTCAGTACCTTTTCGAGTTGAAGACGCATTCTAAAAAGGAAATTATTGATTGCTGCCAAATTTGTAAAACCCCAATTGAATGATGTCACGAGAGGAAGGTGCTGTTCGAAGAACTAGCAGAGCCACTGCTGGAATCCCGCCGTCGAAATATACGCCAAATGAATCAGTTGAGTCATCAAAATCTATCAAGTCAAGTAGATCAACTGCAAGTAAATTGAAAATATTGAAGTTAAAGAAGTTGAAGGCTGAAAATCAACTACAGAAAGAATTAGAAGATAGGCAATTGAAATTCGAACAACAAAAATTAGAATATTTAGAACGTGAAACTGAATGAGAGCTAGCTATTTTGGAGATTCAAACGTCTATAGAAGCAGAAAAATCTTCAAAAAGCATTGAAAGTAGTAGTGAGCAAAGTGAAAGTGTGGAAAGTAGCATACATAAAAAAAGCATTGAAAGAAGTAGCAAAATGAATTCTCTTCCATACGCCAAGTTATCAGATATTTCAATAGAAAATACTCATGTCAAAGTTGTTGACTGGTTATTGGAAAATAGTTTTCCGTATTCAAAGCAGTCAAACCCAGAAACCGAAAAATTAATGAATGAACCTATCACAACACATCAGTTTATGAAAGAATTCACTTCAGCAATGACAGATGCTTTCAAATCTATAACCAAACAAAATCAAATCCACAACGAATCTTCTAAGGTATCCTGCAGGAATGTTGTGGGGAAAGAACTTCCTTATTTCTACGGAAATGTTGAGGATTGGCCGATGTTTATTTCTCTATATCAACGATCCACTGAAACATGTGCTTACTCTGATGAAGAAAATTTGCTACGTTTACAAAAAGCCCTGAAAAATGAAGCTTTAGATGCAGTGAAGCCACTATTTGTATCTCCAGATAATCTCAATGACATACTTAAGACGTTAGAGGCTAGATTTGGACGACCTGAATTTATAATGGAATCCATGATGAATAAAGTGAAATCATTACCACCCGTAAATACTCGTTCTCCAATATCCTTTATAAAATTTGCCAATTCGGTTCTTAATCTTACTGTCACTGCAAAATCGTTGAAAATAGAAACATATATCAACAATAGCCAACTTCTTAGTCAGCTCGTTCAAAAATTGCCAGAACACCTTCAGTTCCAGTGGGCAAGAATTATTGTCAAGAAATACAAAGACATACCTACACCATCGTTGAAAGAGTTTTCAGAGTGGTTACAAGAAGAATCTTCAGCAGCTTGTTTGTTATGTAAACCTTCTATTTCACATTCTGCATCAACAGTCCCGTATATGGACAAGAAAAATAAAACGAACGTTTTCACTGGAACAGAAAACTCATCAATGGAAAAGTACTGCCGATTTTGCTTTAAATCTAGTCATTCCATATACAAATGCGACCATTTCCTGCGTCTCGACACTGATAAGAGATGGGAATGGGTGAAAGAACAAAAAGTTTGCTTTTCTTGCCTCAATTCGTCTCATCGTACTTTCAAATGTAAAAATCGAAGACGTTGTGGTCTGCATAAATGCGAAAAATACCATAATCGCTTACTCCACCCGAATAGTGTTGTAAATCCAAACCAATTGCAGGGATACAACTTGCAAACTCAGTTAGCCGCTTCCAATATCACAGCTGAGAAGAAAGAAGAGGAATCACAGAATCCTGATTGTTTTAATAATGAGCATTTTCTTCAGATTCTAACCGAATATAAAACCGTTTTACTTCGAATAGTTCCTGTCACTGTCATCGGCCCCAAAAAGTCGATGAAAACATATGCGCTCTTTGATGAAGGAAGCACGGTTACATTGATGGACTCCAATCTTGCCGTGGAGATAGGAGTGAATGGTGTAAATGATCCATTAAAAATGTATTGGACCAATTGTACTTCCTATACAGACGACCAATCGAAACGTGTCAATTTGAAAATTCAGGGAACGCTCAATCAGGAAATTTTTGACATGTCAAATGTAAGAACAGTTTCAAATTTGAAGCTTCCTGTTCAATCTGTAGATGTCAAAAATTTAGCGACAACTTGGAATCATCTGTCACGAATTCCATTGGTCAATCTCAGGAATGCAAAACCGCTGATTCTGATTGGCCAGGACCACATCGATTTAACAATAGCCAGAGATGTTATACAGGGGCCTCCCAATGCACCTGTTATTTCAAAATCCAAATTAGGATGGGTGGTTCATGGAAACTCTTCATATTTCAAACATTGAGTCGACTCTCATTATTCTATGACATGTTATATGAAAAATGATATTTCTGAAGATGACGAATTGAAAGAACTAATGAATGAAACTATTCTGATGGATAATTTGGGAGTTGAAAATGACAAATTCAATCATATTTCAGAAGAAGACAAAAAAGCGTTCCAACTCATGGAAGAAACATGTCGCCAAGTAGAGAACAACCACTGGGAAATTGGTTTGCTTTGGAAGAAAGAAAATATCGATTTGCCAGACAGCAGAGCTACCGCGTTGAATAGATTATTCACTGTAGAGAAGAAAATGCAGAAAGATCAGCATTTTGGAGACCAATATTCCAAAAAAATAAAAAATTTCGTTGAAAAAGGATACGCAAAAGTTTTGACTTGCGAAGAAGCCGCCGTTACGTCTCACAAAACCTGGTATTTGCCACAATTTGCAGTAAAACATCCTAGTAAACCACAAAAATTCAGATTTGTATTTGATGCCAGAGCCAAAATAGATGGAATCAATTTGAACGAAAATTTATTAAAAGGTCCTGATCTTTTGAATTCCTTAGTAAACATTTTATTCAATTTTCGTCAAAATCGAATAGCTGTAATGGGAGACATCGAAGAAATGTTTTTAAGGATATACATACGATATGAAGATCAAGATTCGCAGCGTTTTCTGTGGAGGGGAAGAAATAAAGACGGACCTATCCTTACTTACCAAATGAAATCCATGATTTTCGGAGCAATCTGTTCTCCAAGCTCTGCGATCTACGTCCTTCGTGAAAATGCTAAAAAAACATGGAAAGAAAATTGTAACAGACAATATTCCCATGAGGAGAGAACTATTGAAAGTGGTAATGTCAGTTTATGATCCACTTGACCTGTTAGCAGCTTTCACTATACAAGCCAGAATTTTGATGCAGGAAGTATGGTCACATAAAATTGCTTGGGATGATAAAATCACTCCTGATCTATATAGAAAATGGAAATCTTGGCTATCTGCAGTGTATAAAATAAAAAAATTGAGAATTCCTCGATGGTATGGATTCAGCAGTCAAATTGTTGAAATTCAACTACATACTTTCACGGATGGCAGTGAAAAAGGATATGCTGCTGTCTCATATTTTCGAATGAAAGACTCCAGTGATCAGATTAAAACGTCTTTGGTAATGGCTAGGTCAAGAGTCACTTCCTTGAAACCCATGACAGTACCTAGAATTGAACTTCAAGCAGCTCTTCTTGGATCAAATTTGGCTAAAACTATCAAAAATGGCCACAGCATAAAAATAGATAAAAAATTCTTTTGGATTGATTCTAAAATAGTTTTAAGTTGGATTAAGTCGCACCCAAGGAGTTATAAGACTTTTGTTGCCAACAGAATTGGAGAAATTTCTAATAATACAAATCCTGATGAATGGCATTGGCTACCGACAAAGTTCAATGTAGCAGATGAAGCGACCAGGGGTGTCTGGAACATTGATAACTTTCAGAATTGGTTTGAAGGTCCTCAGTTCTTGACTTCAGAAGAGATTAAATGGCCTCATGCTGAAGAAAAGATAGAAGATGGTACAGAAGTAGAAAAAAAGAAGAATTTTGTTTTTGTAATCAACAAG